TGTTCCCTCCATGTTTTTTTCACACAGCTTACACTTAATTCTGTAAACCATTTTTTGCATGCAAACCTCTTGAAATCTGGGCTGTTGGAAGAGGTAAAATAATCCAGGGCGCGTTGGGGATGGGTAGTAGGAAGCGGGAGCACGTTCTGTCGGACGATGGATTCTTTACACTACCTTACATAGATGAGCACCTGCCTTGGAAAATCAAACATATCGTTAGAAAACCAAACTGCACGTTCGGATAGCTTGGAAGAACGACAACAAACTAAAAATGCATCTGGTGAACATTATTATCTCGAAGCCTAAGTGCCCGGGTGGCAATAAATGTCATTTATGCAGGTCTGGGTCTCAAGGGGTAGCTGCAGAGCAGTGGCAAGCAAAAATGTTTGCCAAACTGTAGCCACCTCAGTACCTCGAACTGTGACAGTGACAGTTCAAGGTACTGATTTGTTCAAATACAAGGTACAAATTGTTCAAGTTTACTGATTATACCTGGGAGGCTTTAGACGTCCGGTCTTGATTTGTGTGGGAGGCACAGTTGCCTCTGTCGCAGTTTGTAGCGAATCAGTGAAAGCATTCTTGTCGAGTTTGCTCTTTAATAACAGCTGAAGGTGTACTGAAGGTGTACTGAAGGTGTTCACCTTCAGCGTCAGTCAGGGAAGGGCAATTCGCAAGGGTGGAGGGTCTTGCACCACTGATGGCTTTGCGCTGGTTGTTTATGAACTTCAAAATGGTTCCTCTTTTGGCTTCATGCTTAGATATGATATGGGCGTCGCGCAGAAAGCATGGAACAAATATCACAGGTTTTAGCTCCGATAATTTTTTTTTAGCACACGCCAATTGCAACTTGATCAAGTTTTCAGTTGAAGCTGTTTCTGTCTTCACGTGTTAACGTGGACTTGTAGCTGGAGGAGGGAAGATGACAATAAGGCTGGTTTAACCGGTACGTCAGATAAAACATCGTCAAACTGCGCCGCCAGCACTTCGATCGCTTCCATCATTTCCATCGCATTACGCTGACTAGTTTAAGAGGAAGTAGCGGTTGGTGACAAATGTGACGCGCCTGCGGCGCTTCCGATAAGAGCGAATCGCTGAGCTTCAGCCATTGCTGTCGTTGGGGTAAATTAGTGGCCTGGACTCATTGGTTACTGCATGGCGGGGCGGTGGCGCGGAATGATTGGTCACAGCGGACGGGATGCGCTGAGTGGTGAGGCGCAGCGCGGCCTCCGAAGTGTCCTATACACAGTTTTGAGTGTGTGCCGGCACACTTGACACATGCGTGATTCCAGAGCGTAGACAGTATGCTCGGAGTATGCCTTATTCTTACATGCTACATACTACACACTAAATACTACATACTTACATACTACAGCGAATTGACGTAGACACTCAAGCGTGCACTCCGGGGCGTATTCACAAATAAAGGAATCAAGGAGCGTTGCCACCAAATTTCGTGAACTGAGCTGAACGGCATCAGCGACGGGGGCAACGTTGTGTCGGCCACAAACTGTTTAGTGACTTCTGCGTTAACATGCAACACTCATCAACTGGTCCGCTCGCTGCGCTCCAAAATGCAGTGATAACCGTGTGCATCGCACATTGACTGGCCCGTGAGCTCCGCAATATTATGCTGACCTTCCATGTTCCTGCTTCTGTAAAGACCCCGAAGTTCAGCAGCCCTGTAGCTCGCTCAGCTTGTCAATATAAGGTTGTGCGCCGTCCACCTATTTTCACTGTTGTCTTGCGAGGGCGATTGCGAGTCATCGATTACAATGCTCATCAGTTTGACAGCCGCATGGGTGAGCGCACGCAGTAGTTAGTAGTGTACAAAGAATACCGATTTATTGCTGAATTGTCAAGCTTTGCACATCTAGATCCCCCGCAGCGTGGCGTCCGCGCTCACAGACATTGCACGTGAGTCGTATTGGTGTTTCAATTTTGGGTTCGTCTGTGAGGCCACTGGCATCTATTGTCAGTCACTTGACTAGGCTATCACCATGCATTGAAGCTGTCGGCTCAGCAATCGTGGCGCTCAAACCACTTGCAATGAATGGAGGTGAAAAAGAAGCAAGATCTCAAAGGTCACTCCGGTAAGCCGGCTGATACGTGAGACAAGTCACGTGGCGCAGAAGACAAGCGAGTCATAAATCTTCTCCCTGACTAGTTCCGAAGACAAGAAGGCTTGACCGGAACCCATTTCAATGAAAGATATCTCGGAACACTGTAAAAACGTTGCCGCCGGTAGGCGTCCAGGTTCGCCTTGACACCGGCAAACGCGAACAACGAGAAGCTACGAACGCGCCTCTCGCTCAAGAGAAGAAAAACCCGTCTCCGTCTAAGCCAAGGAGCGCGCTTATCCATGCTCCAAAGCTACCAGCTTCGTCAGCCAGTTCAAGCCATTTTAGAATTGCGGGAACAGAATTAAGAAGTGCGGAATACCACACGCAGTCTGACTCACTGCAGACAGCCCCCCCCCCCCTCTCCCTCCCCAAGCTAGGGATAAGCTTTGAACGGGTGGTGGAGGGGCGGCTTGAGACTAAGGTCTTTCATCATTGACTGGATGGCAATGACCTTCCGGCAGCAGTGCGTGCGAGGACGCGGGTTCTTACGCAAAGAGGATGAGAGGGCGAGAAGATAATCTGACTTGCCCTGCGAGCGACCTGCCCCGTCCAGCGAGTGACCTATCCTGTCCTGCGAGTGACCTGCCCCACCCTGCGAGCGACCTGCCCCGTCCAGCGAGTGACCTATCCTGTCCTGCGAGTGACCTGCCCCACCCTGCGGGCGGCCTGCCCCGTCCTGCGAGCGACCTGCCCCGTCCAGCGAGTGACCTATCCTGTCCTGCGAGCGACCTGCCCCACTCTGCGAGCGGCTTGCCCCGTCCTGCGAGCGACCTGTCCCGTCCAGAGAGTGACCTATCCTGTCCTGCGAGTGACCTATCCTGTCCTGCGAGTGACCTGTCCCACCCTGCGAGCGACCTGCCCCGTCCAGCGAGTGACCTATCCTGTCCTGCGAGCGACCTGCCCCACTCTGCGAGCGGCTTGCCCCGTCCTGCGAGCGACCTGTCCCGTCCTGCGAGTGACCAGCCCCACTCTGCGAGCGACTTGCTCCAATCTGTGAGCGATCTGCCCCGCCCTGCGAGTGACCTACCCCGTCCTGCGAACGACCGCTGCCGGACTCGACGGCTCGGTGTGATGCCCAGGCCGCGCACACCGCTCGGAACGGTGGGGAGGTGGGGAGGGGGGGGGGACGCATCACGTCACAGACCGCTGCGTCCAGACACAAAAAAAAGCAATGGAAAAATTAGGACGAAGAAAATCAGACGACAAAGTATCGACAGAAATCAAAATCGACAGGGATGAAAGCCGCAGGACAAAAATCCGACAGCGATCAAACCTGGCAATTACCAAAGTCGAATCGAAGGGAGGCGAGCGAGACAGCAGTCGACTGTGACAACAAACTGTAAAACATTTTTTAGTTCACCTGAGGAACTAAAACACCAACGGGCACCATGAATCAGGCTCTGGTGTTTGCGAAGGACCTGGTGTGAACCGGGGGACCTACCATCAAGTTTATAACACCTAATCAGGTGCAGCGGATCACTTGTTTCCGTGATCCGCGACGGCTGTGTAGCCTCTACGTTAACTTTACGGATTAAAGGTCACCACAGTGACATGAGGTCACTAAATTCACTACGGCTGGCGAACTAATGCACTGCGGGTCGCATGGGGAACGGTTTTGGAAGATCGTACCAGTCCGAGTACGGGTCGTCCCTGAGATAAGAGATGGCTGCATAGCTATCTCACGGATAACCACTGGGATGAAAGCCGACATGGTGACCTGAGGTCACTAGATTATCAGCGGCTGGGCAGTATTGAGTTGTTATTCCTACCGTATAGGTTTCAAACGTGGGGCCATTAATTTCCGAGATTGGAGACAGCTGCAGACAAGGAGGTGGAGTGGTGCCGTCCGCCTCAGGGGCTACAAAAAGGATCTGTTAAGCTATGACGTCTCCAAATCGAGCCCTCTAGCCCCTGATCTTCTCAGCCAGGATCGATTAGTCTGGGTCTTTTTTAAACCGTTCCTATGTCTTTGCCCGTCTCAGAGAAGTCCCTTTTCCAATCACCCGAAGTCCTAGAGTTTCAAGTAATTTTGGGATGATTAGGAATGTCTCAGTGCGGACAAGAGTCTCAGTCGGCAGATGCCACAGCGTTGGTGAAAGCTCTGGACGGTGAATACTGCATCCAGCCTTATGATTGGTCAAGGCAGAAATCACCAAGGCCCGCATCATTAATCACCGAAGGATGTATGGGCCCAACCAAAGATGCCAATGGGTGATCAGATGGCTCTTGATGGGCGGAGGATGCATTGATCTTCCTCTGGCCGCTTTGGTGGTGATGCATTGATCTTCCTCTGGCCGCTTTGGTGGTGATGCATTGATCTTCCTCTGGCCGCTTTGGTGGTGATGCATTGATCTTCCTCTGGCCGCTTTGTTGGTTGTCATGCCGATGGTCTCTCTCAGTGAGCGGAGGACGACGGAGTTTCAAAACGCGTCGTTGCGGGGGTCAACTCTCCCACAGACTGTCGAATTGGTGCAACACAGAAGGAAGAACAAAAGGTAATTATAGAGATCATTGTGTTATGACCCATGCAATTGCAATCAAATGGGCCAATAGCACACCGATAATGAAACGTGTCACTGAATCGTCTGCTGTGATTGTGAGGAGCAGTCGATCGATAGTCATCCAAGCTTCTGGCCGCTGGTGTCTAATAACTAGCCTGAGTTTTAGCTCCCACCTTTCTGAAAGTTTGCGACGGAGAAGCATGCTCGTGTTCTTAATTGTTGCTGCCGTTAGTGCGCGAGCCGTATCTTACAATCAATTCGATAACTGACATGAGACGACCATAGTAACGAGTATTTTGATTTCGTGGCTTATATCTCAAGTGGTCTTGAAACAACTGCGGTATGATTGTCTACAGTGATTCCGAGTTGTTTTGGTTGACTGAGGGCAGGTGCAGGTGAAGGCCGCGCATCGTCGCTGTTCGAAGGGCGTCGGTCGCGTGTTTTTTGTTTCCGACGGGTGGTAAGCATTGTTGAGGTGTTTGGGCGCGGCTTAACATGACACGTTCCAGGTGCAATATTTTGATTTTGCGGTAGATTTCTGATCGTGTAATGAATCGCAATACTACCAGCTGTAACTGTTCTTGGTTTGGTTTGCTGCCCCGCCCAATAACCTGATAGTACGTCACGCCCTTAACATAAGCAGACTGAAAAGGGATGAAATCATGGAGCGAAATTGGATGCGATAGTGTTCGCAGTATGTACCGTTTCAAGAGGACACCTCATACCAATCAGATGTAAAAATTGCCCTGCACAGAAGCATGTTGGTCACGTGGAACATGTCTGGCATAGCAGCAAAATCACGGTAAAAAATTTCAGCCCTCGGCATGCACAACAAATTCACAAGTGCAGCATGAATCCTGGTGCTCAGAGTTTCAGGAGTTAAGGCACTATCATGAATATGAGCACATCAAGAGTGGTTGTGCCAAGGAATTGTGATGCTCTGAAGGTAGTTTCAGGTAAAAGTACTCAGGGAATACATAGTTACAAAATTTGTGTGAAAATTCAGAGCAATTTGGCCTGGTCTGAGCTTGACTCACCTGATCCAGGATCTGAGCCAGGGAAAGGTTTGCCCAGCTCACCCACCAGCACCTGCCCATGTCTATTGCATCATTGTCCATCACCTGGAGCAATGTTTCTGCAGAATGTCATGGTACCAATGTTTAGCAGACAGAATTTGTGTATTGCCTGCTTAGAGTTCCACATAAAAGGCATGAACTAATCTTATTCCACACCAACAAATTTTGCAGGATGCTGATGGTAATGATAATGCATGCTAGCTGGTGTTACCTTTTCTTGCATAACATTGACAGATCCAATTGAATGCATCTGGAAGTTGTGTTCATGAGAAATGCTGGGAATGATTTGGCATTTGACCTTTTTTTGGCCTTGGTCACCCCATGGCTTATGGAATGGCAGGATTTGAATGATGTTATTATGGTGTCATGAATGCCAAGGTGATCTTCATGTGTTTTCCCCAAAATACTCTGCCCATTTTCACAGGTAGGTAGCTCAAAAACTAGAGGGCTTCAGGTCTTAAAAAGGGCAGGGATGTAGACTGCACCAAAAGGTCTTCATTGTAGCTGTTCAAACACAGTTCAAAGCCACATACAAATATGAAACTTTTTCACAAGCATACAAACATGACTGGGAAAATAAATGGAAATGATCAAAATATGGCAAACCTTTCAAGAACCATTGAACTTTGGAAAACTGCAAAGGTCCATAGTGGACCAGACATGTCAAGCCATGGTGAACTGGGCTAAATGTGTAGAGCCTCATTTAAAGAGGCCTGTTCAGCCTGGGCTGGGCCAGTTCTAGGGTCTGGCTGTCCTACTGCAGGAATGGTCAGATTCTTCCCATTTTATTTCCCTCCATAGTCTCATCTGCTCCTGGCTGCTCCTTTATGCCTCAGCTATGAAAAGCACCCTAATTCTGTTGTGACCCTGTAATCGCACATCATACCTCAGCTCTTGGAGACACAATACCAGTCAGCATTGGCTTACTGCACCACGATCTTGGTCACCAAGTGCTGCTATGTGCAGTGATTATTTGTTGCTGAGTTGGGGTCTGGTAGCATCAATATTTGATATTTCTAGTTGCATATTTCACATATTTTCCTCTCAGGCTTATGTTTGATGTAAAAGATATTCCATACTGCAAGATTTTGTGGTATGCTTGGAATTTCAGGTTCAAACTTTCAGAAATTTCGGACTGCAGCACCAACACTGATTTCTAGCCACCTAAACAAATATTCTGCTCATTGATATGCACTCCACCCTGCCACAGACCCATTTGCCGACCACCATCGAGCGGCTCAGGCTCTAGTCAACATGGCGGAGCCATCAGTGAAGGTGGGCCAGCGTGTGCAGGTCAAGGAAAGCGTCGGCACGGTCGCCTACGTAGGCACCACGCAGTTCGCTGCGGGAAAGTGGATCGGCGTCGTCCTTGACGAGCCTAAGGGCAAGAACAATGGAACTGTGCAGGGCAAGACCTACTTCCAGGTGAGGGATTTTGTCGAGGGATTTTGTCAGGGTTAGACATCTCACTCTTTGGCGAGGTACGGCATGACTCAGGGGGCAGAATGTAGAAGCTGGGTTGTTTGTTGGCTTGTGTTTTCTTTTTGCTGTCTGTGATCACTGTTGAGGCATTTGGGCACCATTGATGCATTGAGGCATCATTGCATATTTCATTTAACACCAATAATTTAGAACAAGTATGATATTGCTTTTGGCTCTTTTTATTGTTGGCATTGCCTGAGCTGGAAAGTGTTGGTCATGCCACCTATCCAGTGATGTCACGCTGTGTGCTGGCTGGCGCCATCGGCCGCTCAGCTTGGCGCCGGCCGCGCAGTGCGTCTCGTCTAACCTCGCCGGCGCGCGGCCGCAGTGCGGGGAGAACTGCGGCGTGTTCGTGCGGCAGACTCAGCTGACCGTGCTGGACGGGGGCAGCTCGACGCCCGGCTCTAAGGCCTCCACACCCGCCGCAGAGAAGCCCAAGAGCCGGTAAGCGCGGCAGGACAGTGCGCTGTGTCGTTCTCCAGTGCGTGGACTGTCGTGGGCACTGCTAACTGGCCCTAACAGGCCGTAGACTCTGCCTTGACCACGGCGCGGCGAAGCAGTCGTCTGGCCGACTCCTGGTAGCCAGTTGGGCCAGGATGCACACTGACGAAATCCTGAGTGAACGACAAAACATTGTGTTCGGACATGGCTGCGAGTGGGCGCTTTTCATCTGGTGCGCCAACCAGTGGCTTCCGGTCTTGCGACGCGCAGGTGGCAGGCGGCCGTCGCTGACGGCAGGCAAGTGGTCGTACGTCAGGTGTGACCTGCATCCAACAGCAGCAGGCTCGCGTCGATACCAGCAGCAGCAGCTGGCGGCAGCCTGCACTGTTCACGTTCCCTTGATGCCGTGCTATTTCCCAAGGCGGCCCGGGGTAGTGTCGGAGGTTGTCGTCAAAGCTTCTCCTAACAGAGCGTTGGTCCCAGGGATGCTGATCAACATCGCCTCGATGGGCCACCAGACCGTCGATTCGTGTACGGTATTTCTCCTGAGTCTTGAAGCCTCTTGCTTCGAATGCTACCACTGTCCACGCTGCCACGCTCTGCTGACCTTGAGTTTTCGGCCCCGCGTTGCTGACGCGTCAGCTTTGTGAAGTCTACGCCGTACGGTCACTGCGCGGCGTCCCTCACCGCCTGTACAGTGCCATGCCGACACTGCGCTGGTCCAGCCCCTGTCCATGTGCCATCAGCTGCTGAGTACCCGATTACCCGCAGCTTGCCGCTGGTGGAGCGTCACCACAGTGCCAGCTTGGAACGACAGCACTGTGCCAGCACTTCATTGTCCCTGTAATGCCTCTGCGTTACTACAGAGGCGCTGTCGTGCCGCCGTGGTGGGGGTGTGGTGCCGTTGTGGCACCGCTAGATCACCGCTGTGGCCCCGTCATGACGCGCTGTTGGCACCGTTGTGACACCGATCAACCGCTGCCGGGCATTGTCACCACGCCCCTCTGGTGCCGTCGTGACACCGCTGTGCCACCACCGTGTCACCGCGGTGTCACTGCCGTGTCACCGCCATGTCACCGCCGTGTCACCGCCGTGTCACCGCCGTGTCACCGCCGTGCTTGCCCGCCGTACTTCACTCGCCGCCGACGCCTCTCGCCACGCCGGCGGCCGCCGGGGCGGGCGGAGCCGGGCGCCCGCGTGACGGCCGTGTGTCCGTGCGTGCCAGCCCCGGGGCGCGGCTGTCGCTGCCGAGCGCGACCGGCGGCCTGTCTCGGCTTGCCGCGCCTCTCCTCCGGCGCGCCCGGCCGCGCCGCCGCCGGCCTCGGCCGCTCCCAGTCCGGAGACAGCGTGCACAAGTAACGCCGCCGCGCGGGCATGGCGCGCGCGCGCCGGCCGTTCTGTCCTAGACTAGCCGCTGTGGGTGTCCTGCCGGCTGGGTGTGTCGGTTGTAGGCCCGCGTGTGCGCGCGGGCGGGACCGACGTGACTAACATGCAGTGAGCGCTGGGGCGAGCTAGGCCGGCGCCGCCGGCCGAGCCGAGCACTTGCCGGCTCCGAAGCGGGGCTGGCTTCGGACCGCCAGGCGGTGAGCTCGACTCTCCGTCGGTCTAACTAACCAGCACAGGCCGCACCCTCCGCGGAGCATTTAGCACCCAGTTTAGACTAGACCCCTTCGGACGTACCCACTCAGAGCACTTGGCATGGGGACTAGACTAGACTCATCGCACTGACGAGCTCCCGGGGACTAACCAGCACTAGAGCTCGACTATTCGGCGTTCTGCACTGTCTGGCGCGCCAACTCCGCCGTTAACTAACGTGCATCCCACGCCCTGGTGAGGCTGTTGCTGGCGAGACGTGCGGCTGAGGCGTGCAGGCATGATTCGGACCTGTGAGCCCTGAAGCTCACGAAACATGTTTAGACTGGTGCCAGTATACAGCACCACGCCACATCCACCGGCTGCGCCACGATCCGTTTACTGACAGCCGTCACTATACGTGAGGAAGAATTGCTCTGGGGGGGAGTCAGGGTCGCTCCCGACTCGTAAGAAACGGTCATTACGCAAAGCTTCGAGCGCAAAGTCGGTGTGTCCCGGCCGGCCTCGCGAGGAGTCCGCGCGCACCGCCGCTCCCTGCCCCTGCCAGGGACGGCCCGCGGTCCTGCCAGGCGCCGTGTGGTCCCGAGCTGCCTCGCTGTGCTGTGTCGGCGCGCTGTGCCTTGTCTGGCCCGTTACTTGTCCCGCTGTCTCCCCGCGTGACGTGGCGTCCTGGGCTGTTTGTGCCCGCCTCCGTGGCGTTACCGTCGCCGCCGCTCTGGTCGTCCTGTCCTGTCCCTCACTCGCCTCTGCGCTGAGGATGCTGTGTGGTCTGCGCTTCCCCTGCGCTGTGTCGTCTTTCGTGAGGCTCTCGTTGTGTCGCCTGCTGTGCCCGACGCCGGCTTCTGCTGTGTCGTGCCGCTGTGCTCTTGACCTTTTCCTCCGCGCAGTATCGTCTGCCGTTCCGTGGCCCTGTGTCGTTGCTGTTCCCTAGCACCGCTGTGTCCACTGTATCGCACTGCCGTGCTGCTGCTGTTCCCGCGCCGTGGTGCACACTGTGCGGGCTTCTGCCGTAGCGCGCTGCTGTGTCGTTGTCGGCCGGTTTCGTGTCGTCTGCTTTTCTCGGTCGCTGTGCCGGCTGTCCTCCGTAGCGCGCTGCTGTGTCGTTGTCGTCGGCCGGTTCCGTGTCGTCTGCTGTTCCGGGGCGCTGTGCCGCCCGTGCTGGCCGACTGACCATCGGCGCCGTCCCTTTCAGCCCCGGCAGGAGGGAGACCCCGTCTGGCAGGTAGGGCCGTCAGCGGAGGCCCGCGGGAACGGCTGGTCACGGCCTCTGGTGTGGGGCTTGGGTCGTCACGGGCCGGGCTACGGTGTGTCGGGCACGCGCGCTGCGTCACGCACAGGTCACATGCTGTGACGGCACTGGTCATGGCTGTCAGGCGCCGGTAACGCGTGTCAGGCACGGGTCACTGGTGCGGGTGTCAGGCACGGGTCGTTGGCGCGGGTGTCAGGCACGAGTCATTGGCGTTGGTGTCAGGCACGGGTCACGGTTGTCAGGCGCCGGTAACGCGTGTCAGACACGGGTCACTGGCGCGGGTGTCAGGCACGGGTCGTTGGCGCGATGCAGTGCCGGGCGCTGACAGATGCAGTGCCGGGCGCTGGCGCGTGCGCAGTGCCGGGCGCTGGCGCGTGTGCAGTGCCGGGCGCTGGCAGATGCAGTGCCGGGCGCTGGCGCGTGCGCAATGCCGGGCGCTGGCAGATGCAGCGCCTCGCGCTGGTGCGGATGCAGTGCCGGGCGATGGCGGGTGAGGTGACGGGCACGGGTCTCTGGCCGGGCGTGCGCGACTGCTCGGTGACCGCTGCGAGGGCTGGATCCCTCTCGCGCTGCTCCCTTCTCCGCCGCCACCACCGCTCGAGCTGCCACGCCTCTCTTTCTGTGTGTTGTAGCGTGGCCGGCGTGAAGCGGCGCCGCCTCCTGTGAGTGACCTGAGGGCCGGCTGGCCCGGCCGCGACGGCAGCACGGTCCCCTCGGACGTCACTGTGACCCCGCTCGATGTGTCCGCGTGCAGTGTGCGGGGCTCGGGCGCGGGGCGGCGTCCGCCGGCCTGGCTGGGACGCTCACAGGGGTTTCAGATGGAAGATTCACCACCGGAAACGGAGACAAAACAGCTGTTGCATTAGATCTCGGGTGTGGAGTGCGGATCAGAGACGCCCATATAAGGTTATCTTAAGCCCCTTGGTTTTATGACCCGAATGGCGGCTTCATATGGAGCAGATGAAGTGGGTGTGTGACCACTGGCACGTCTTGAGCTGAGGCGGCCTTCACGGTATCTGTGACGCCGCAGCCAGGCTGTGGCGGGATGGGGAGTGCAGATCTGTAACCCAGAGCCTTCTCTGCACGCGTCTGCCTTTCTTTGTCTCTCTTTCACGGCGGGTGTTTGTCTCTTTGTCTGCCGCCGCCGTCTGGCGGTGCAACTCCGGCCGCAGAGCCTGCTCTGAAAATCACTGAGCGCGAGCCGCGGCGCCACAGCTACAGCGCCGAACAGCGCGGCCGCTGTTTAACAGACGGCTGTTCCGCGGCTGAACAGGGCGCCACTGTCGGGGCCACAGCTGTGCCCCGGCTGACGGCGGCTGCGGCTGAGCTGCGCCACTGCCGGGGCCGCAGCTGTGCCCGGCTGGGCGCAGCTGTGCCCCGGCTGACGGCGGCTGTGGCCGGAGTTCGGAGTTACGTTGCATGCGGGCGCTGTATTGATCTCGGGGCATGCTGCGTCGCCTGTCGGTCCTGCATTGGGCGTTCCGTCCGGTTAGCCGCATTCGGCATCCGTTATCCGTCGAAGGCGAACATTGTGTTACCCCGTTTATGGGGCTGTAATGAGGCCGCAGTGACAGGTTTTCGGCGTCATTTGTTTCAACTCATTTTTTACTGCAACTTTTGTGGTTAACACGCTGAACATCGTGGATAAATGGTTTCATGTACATATCACGTCGATGGAAACATCTTAGTCCACGGCGCGGAAAAAAGGTCCGCCTGCATAACTAGGTAGACCAGGACAGTTGTCTTCGTCTTTCCTTCGTCTGGCCGTTGTCGTCGCCGTATATGCCGGGCTGTAGCATCAGCACATCCACTCTGCGCACGCACGGTGCATGCTCGTCTCCGTTTTCTGGTAGTGGCAGCAACTGGTATCGCTTGGGAGTGCTGTACATTCTGAGCCACCACCGCCTAAACTCAATGAGCTGTCGTGTCCTATCCCAGGGACCACGCGTCCGCTGCCACTACCGCTGGCCGCTGTCTGTGTCCTGTCCCAGGGACCACGCGTCCGCTGCCACCACCGCTGGCCGCTGTCTGTGTCCTGTCCTAGGGACCATGCGTCCGCTGCCACCACCGCTGGCCGCTGTCTGTGTCCTGTCCCAGGGACCACGCGTCCGCTGCCGCCACCGCTGGCCGCTGCCTGTGTCCTCTCTGTGAACATGATGTGACGTGGTCCCACCAGCGGGGTTAGCAATTGTCTGCGCTGTTGTCATGTTTCCCTCCTGTTTGGCGTCATGTCGTCCGACGTAACCCTGGCTGTTGCAGAGTTCTGCCCATGTCTAGGGTAAAGGTGTGGTCCAGTGACCACTATGCCAACGTGTTTGTTATATGTACCAGAACATATCTTATGTTCCGTACCTGTGCATAGTGAGACAGAAGTGTGCCGTGACCGCACAGTTTTGAGCCGTCAACTGTTGGTAGGTAACTGTGCTCTCTAGCTTTCCTGGTCACACATCTGCTTTTATACGCGTGCAACCCGGCAATAGTAACGCCGAAATACTCAATACCATATCACGCGTCGTACATCAGCGCTCATCTCAGAGTGCTGACTGGTTGCAATCAGTTCTCTGCTCCCATGCCGTGCAACCCGCCACCACTGTTGTGGTGAGCCGTCCAGTGTGCTGCCGAGCGTGCGGCAGCCGCTCTACTCAGCGTATGTCCCGGCGTGTCGTGACGGCCGTGTCCGCGTCCTTGGCCCGCCGTGTCCGCGCGTGTCCGTGTCCGCCGGGCGTCCACGTCGGCGTGTCCGCGCCGGCAGACTGCCGACCCCCGGCTCCGCCCGCTCCTCGGGCCACTCCTCTCCACGCGAGCCCACCAAGATCAGCCCCAAGGGCCGCAACATGCCCACCAAGAAGGCCTCGTCGACGCTGGAGATTTCGCCGAAGAAGGAGCGCACCGCCGCCGGCGGCTCGACGCAGGATCTCAGCGGCAACAAGCGCGCCTCGTTCGTGGAGGTGGGTCGGGCCGGGCCGGGCCGAGGTGGACTGGGCGGGTCGGGCCGGGCCGAGGTGGACCGGGGCGGGTCGGGCCGGGCCGAGGTGGACCGGGTCGCGTCGGGTCGGGCCGGGGCTCGTTCTGTGGGTACTCGCAGGGTGTGCTCACCTGCTCTCGGTGTCTAGCCGGCGGGGAAGTTGGGCGCGATGATGGGAGTCGTGGCCATCGCGGGGTTGTAGTTCGCCGCGTGCAGCAGCGGAGGGGATTGGCGTCGAGGCTGCTGGACGGACTGAAGTCGTGGTCAGAGAAGCGGATGGCGACGCTGGGATATCCAGACGCGACCATTAGGACCGCAAGCTCGACTAACTAACCGCGTGTGTCACTTGCGAGCCATCACGATTAACTACGTACTATCGGCGTTGAAATTGTTAAGCTATGATCGTTGTCGACAGCTTTGGCATGCATGTTTGTCGGTGCGGAAGTATTCATTGGAGCTGGTGGTCTGCGTCGTTCGCCGATCCTGGTCCCTCACGCCCTCCCGGCATTGTCTCGCGCCGACGCAGACTCCTCCGGGTGTCGGCCTGCCGATCGATCCTCGAAGTTCCTCGTTCCTCATTCCTCGAAGACCGTTCCTCGATCGCTCCCCGCTAACACAGACACGTCCGTGCGCAGACCAACTTTGTGGAGAGCCCGTCGCCGGCGACGCCGGGCCAGGTGGGGCCGCAGGTCACGCCAGCCAGCGCCGACCAGCAGCGCGAGATCGAGAACCTGCGTGACGAGGTCAAGGACCTCAACGAGCGGCTGGAGACACTCAAAGGTGTGTGCCGCTCGGGGCCGGCACGGAGCTCGGGTCGGGGAAGATAGGTGTGACAGCGTTTGTGCCGAACGCGACGACTGGCCGGAGCGGTGTGGTGATGAGTGTTGATGTTTCCTGGGGTAGTGGCTGCAGTCGGCCGCGCGGCGGCCGCGTGGAGGGTTTTGATTCTCTTTGCGGGCTGCATACTATCTATATAGCGGGTTATGCGTAAATGGACCCTAGAGGTGCAGTCTGTTTATCTGTGCCGTTGCTTGATGCTGCAAATGATGCTGATGGTGATGGTGATGATTATGATTATGATAATAATGGTAATGATGGTGTGGAGCTTAAACACCGACACCCGTGTCTGAAATTAGTCGACGAGCTGTGTGTTCCTCACTCATCGACCATCTAACCGCATTCGCAGCCAAGCGGGCCCAGGACCGCGACAAACTGAAGGAGTTTGACAAGGCCCGCATTCAGCTGGAGCATCTGCAGGAGTTCAAGGCCCGCATGCTGGAGCAGCAGGCCCAGCTGCAGAAGGAGGTGGGCGGCGCAGCTCGGCGGGGGAGGGGGTTCAGTCAGGGTCAGGGCCTCGGGGCGGGGCTGCCACTGCGCCTGTGTGACCAGGTGCTTAAGCTGGTCGGTCAGGCTCCCGTAGAACCGCGCAAGGGTGGGAGCTATAGTGGCTGGTTTAGTGGTGCCGGCCGAGGGCTGGAACTGGTAACGTCACGCACTTATTTTGGAATGTTGCGCCCTTTCTGATCAAGGTAAGTGAGCAATCTGCAGTATGCAGGAGCTTCACACGTGTAACGCCTTCTGCCGAGCCATCAAAGCGAACCATGTGGAATGTCTTCAGTCGAATCCTGCCACCGTCCCGGACCCACCAACTCCCCGGGCCCACCATCGCCCCGGACCCACCACCGCTCCGGACCCACCACCGCCTCGGGGCCCGCCACCGCCCCGGGCCCACCACCGTCTTGGACTTACCACCGCCCCGGTCTTGGCTCGCCGCCGCCGTCGGTGACGTCAGACCCTGCGCGCGCCGAGGCTGACACTGCACGCGCGACTCCACAGCTTCAGAAGGCGCGACAGGAGCGGCAGGAGGCGCTGGAGGAGCACCAGCGCGTCCAGGAGGAGACGGCAGACGCGCAGGAGACGCTGGAGATGGCTGCTCTCGACAAGGAGATGGCCGATGAGAAGGTAGGCTGGCCGGCCACCGCCGGCGTGGTGTTGTGTTGGCACTGACGCTGACGCCGACGCCGTCGTGGTGCGTGTCGTGGAGAGGGCGTGAAATGGCTTGCTATGCCAGTGTGTGATGCTGGTCAGTAAGCCTGCACGCAGTTTAGCGGGTTTTGTGGAATATGCATGCCACGCTATGGCGGATCTGAGCTGGGAGGTGCCTACTCGGAAGTGATCCTTTGCTCTCGTGGCTGCTGCGCATGACGTACATGTGCGTTGTAGTCTTCGAATGATTTGTCGCAGCTCGGATGAGGCCCATCAGGTGACGTGGATTGTATCGCGATGGGAGCAGACCTGGAGGAGGCCCGCCCAGCCGGGCCCAGCGCGGCTCGGTTGTCCCTAGCTGGTCGTCTGTCCTCACTCCCGGCGTCATCCGCGCCGAGCGCTGCCGTACCGACCGTCATGACTTCTGACCCGCCGCCTCCTCACCCTCCCCTCGCAGGCGGAGACGCTGCAGCTGGAGCTGGACCAGGCCAACGAGCGGATCGAGGAGCTGCGGCTGGACCTGCAGATCCTGCAGGAGGAGGTGCAGCAGCGTGGCGAGAGCGGCGAGGCCACCGCCACCTCCTTCCAAGTCAAGCAGCTCGGCCAGCAGAACGACCGGCTGAAGGAGACGCTGATCCGGTGAGCAGCGCCGCTGGTGGGGAAGGGGTCCACTCCAGGCGGCGTTGTTGGTGGGGAAGGGGTCCACTTCAGACAGCGCCGCTGGCGAAGAAGGGGCTCACTCCAGACGGGGCTACCTTGCTGGCATGCATCCAGGCTCCCTGCACCACATCCTCTCAACAGATCGTATTGGAGAGGGGTCCGAGACGACATTTTAATAGCCGCTCTTTAGAGTTGTAACTGGTCCTTTAAACGGCGATTCCCAATGTCTATGCTAAGCGCTGTTTCGGCTTCATGCTCACCGAATGCCGATAGGTTTCGTGTTCGTTGTAGGCCCCACTCATCCACATGGTCATCGTCGTCGTTGCCACTACAGCTGTCATCGCAATGCCCATCTTTGTTATGATAATCATGACCGTGACCATGATAATGATCGATTGCTCTTGTCTCGGCCACCGCCATCCTCTCCCCCGTCGCCACCGTCACGACCACCTCTCCCCGTGCGCCGGCGCTAACGGTCCGTCCGTTGCCAGCATGCGCGACGTGGCCGCGCACGACAAGCACGAGCTGCAGCGCTCGCAGAAGGAGATGGAGAAGCTGCGCGCCGACCTGACGGAACTGGGCCGCGAGCGGGACCGGTTCCGCGGCCGCGCCGCCGAGCTCGAGGCCAGCATCGCCGACCTGCAGGAGCAGGTGAGGCGGGGCGGGGCGGGGCGGGGCGAGGCGAGGCGAGGCGAGGCGAGGCGAGGCGAGGCGAGGCGAGGCGAGGCGAGGCGAGGCTAGGCGAGGCGAGGCGAGGCGAGTGGCGAGGGCGACTGGCAGGAGGCGAGGCGAGGCGGGGCGGGGGCGGGCGTGGGCGGGGCGGGGGAGGCTGGGGGCGGGGCGAGGCGGGCGAGCGAGCGAGCGAGGCGGAGGGGCCGGGGGGAGGGCGGGATGAAGCTGGGCGGGCTGGGCGGGGCGGGGCGGGGCGGGGCGGGGCGGGGCGAGGCGAGGCGAGGCGAGGCGAGGCGAGGCGAGGCGAGGCGAGGCGAGGCGAGGCGAGGCGGGGTGGGGCGGTATGTGACGCGATGCGTCGCTCGCGGGCCTTGACCTGCGGTGGCGGGCGCAGATCCCTGGTGGTGATGGTGCCGTCGTTTGTTAAGTGGCGTGCGGATGACGTGTTTGGCCGACGTGTAAGGGCTCTGACCGATGGTTAAGGACATGTCCCGATGGTTCAGTTGGTTAGAGCGCATGCTTTCCGTTCCACCCACCCGTGGAAGGTTGGGATCGAGTCGCTTTAGGCGCTCGTTATTTTCCCATGACGGATATGGCCTGCGGTCGGCGGCAGCGGTCGTGCCGAAGGTCAGGTGACGTCACAGGGCAGAACAGACGGTGCCGAGTATTGCGGCACGTTAAGATTTCGCCACCAAGTTTTGCCATTTACTTGGAATTGTGCGATCGGATGATATGGGTCAAGGCACAGACAAGTATTGCGTAACGTTACCTCTGATCCCAGAAACTCAACCGTTCAAAAGGATCGGATGAAATGGCTAAAGAGATCGATATGATCACTCCTTGAATGGGTGAAGTTCTGTATGGTTTATTTATGTAAGTTACGTATGTTTTGAAGACATGTTGTAAAACCCAATTGACATAATCGCCATTGCCATGATCGCAGATACGTCGTTGTGTTCCTCGAGTTGAAGCGCCCTAGCGTTCCTTTTCCGCAGCCGTGCCCTAGGCAGCCTCCACTGTGTTAGCGACTTAACTTGGATCACATTGAATGGCCGGTTTGACTGCAGCCATTTGGCGTCGTTGGTGAGGGAGTTTTGTGGACATGCTAGTTAAGTGTGGTCACGGCTGTGACTGGTTAGTATACCGTGCCAGTCATCTGCGTTCTCATAGCGACGGCTGTAGTCAGCTGTTCTGTTCGAATCGTGTCGGAAGCACGTAATTGTTATTCGTAAGCGTGAGGTACACCGCCACCTGCCTGTACGTCGCGGCGTTCCTCATACAGCGCCGTCCTCGTCTGTAGCAGCCCCTTGTGCCAACAGGCTCACCCCTGTCCTCAGACCTTCCCGTGCCCGCCACTCTCGCCCCTTCCCATCAGCTCCCCCTGTGCCATCAAGCCTGCCCGCATCCTCTAATATGCCCGTGCCTGCCACTTTCGCCCCTATCCATCAGTTCCCCCTGTGCCATCAGGCCTGCCCCCTGTCCTCTAATCTACCCGGGCCGGCTACTCTCGCCCTTCCCATCAGCTCCCCTGTGCCATCAGGCCTGCCCCTGTCCTCTAATCTACCCGTGCCGGCCACACTCGCCCCTTCCCATCATTTCCCCCTTTGCCATCAGGCCTGCCCCCTGTCCTGTAATCTACCCGGGCCGGCTACTTTCGCCCCTTCCCCTCAGCTCCTGCTGTGCCGGCCAGGCTCGCCCCTGCCCTCTAACCTGCCCGTGCCCGCCGCTCTCTCCCCTCCTCAGCTGCTGCCGTGCCGGCCAAGCTGGCTCCGGTTACTCTGACTCCCGCCGTGACTGCCAGGTGGACGCGGCGCTGGGTGCCGAGGAGATGGTCGAGCAGCTGTCGCAGCGGAACCTGGCCCAGGAGGACCGCATCCAGGAGCTGGCCGAGGAGCTCTCCACCATGGAGGCCCTCCACGACGCCAACGAGGAGATCGCCGAGAACTTCCGCGAGGTGGAGCTGGAGCTGAAGCAGGAGCTCGACATGAAGACCGGCCAGCTGCGCCAGGTGCGGCCGACGACGGGCGCGCTGATCCGGGAAGAGGGACGGGGCCGGAGCACCGGCTGGCGGGCGGGAGAGCATGGGCTCGGCGGCAGAGGAGTGGACGGATTGAGGGTCATGTCCATGGGGCAGTCTGTGGCCACACCGAAGTCTGTCAAGTATGTGGTTTTAACGGCGTGGATTTTGCTGGGGAGCTGTGCCCGATCAGTGGGTCCGGACCAGTAAATCAGCACCGGACCTGATAATACCCAAGTGTGTGCGTGTATGTATGTGTGCGTGTGTGTGTGTGCGTGTATGTGTATGTCGGCGGGGCTCAACGACGCGCTCAGCTGCTGAGGCCATGGGCGTCGCCTGCCTCCCGCCCTGGTAGGAGGGATGGACACACGCGATATCTGAGAAATGAACAACGAGCCTCGTTGGATGCGTGTTGTCCGCGTTTGCCCGTTTGCCAGTTTTTCTGTTGCGCCAGCTACTCTTCCACGTTGCTCGGCGCCTCCCCACCTGGTCCACCTCTCCACGTGCATGCCTCAGGTGGAGCGGAGCCTGGAGGCGGCGCACGAGGTGATTGCCGACCACGCCAGCACCATCGGCAAGTTCCGCGAGCTGGTCCAGCGGCTGCAGGACCAGAACGGCGAGCTGCGCGCCCAGCTGGAGCGCGAGACCAACAAGCCGGTCGGCGTGCCGGCAGAGAAGATCGACTTCAAGGTGGGCGGCGGCTGTAGCGTTGGTGCCCGACGGATGTCCAGCGCGTGGCGAGTTGGGGTGCTGGGTGCTGCCTGGATGAGCCTTGTATAGGGAGCTGGGGAAATTGTGGTTTGTTGTTCGTGCTGGGGTGTTTCGTCTTGCTTCGAGCTGGACAAAACTGTCGTGGTGGTGGTGTTTGAACGCAGCACGCATTTGCTCCCCCTTCCCCATCCCCTGCCCGCGAGCGATGTAAAGTTAAAGGCCGGCGGTACTGTGTAAAATGCAGCTCCCATTGTGTCTCAGATACCGCAAACGTGTGGTTCTGGGGTCGTTAACGGCGTACCGTGCATGTAACACGCTGTGTATCAGGGGTGAGCTCGCGATGCTGACAAGTTTTGTCTGTTCCGCGCAGAAAATGTTCGCGGAGACAAAGGCGCATGCCAAGGCGATTGAGATGGACCTGCGGAAGATCGAGGTGCAGCAGTCGAACCGTCACGTGGAGCTGCTGGCCAACTTTCTCCCCGACAGCTTCCTCGCCAGGGGAGGTGGGCTGGCGCCGTATTTTTAGTTTTGTTTTCTGCTCCGTGGGCATCCGTATGGTGAGGTGGCCCTATGTCGTTTGTTGTTTGTTCCTGCTTCCAACTCGTGGGTGCGCCGCGATACTTAATCTTATTAGGGTGTCAAACGTCCGTTTGAATAGCCATTTGGATGACCGGTCAGCCTGTCACATCAAGTGATCTTCAATCCTTGAATGGTATTGGATTTTTATCCGACTCCTTAACTGCGGGCAACCGCCTGCGTGTCCCCGCAGAGACTGATCTCGCTCACCTTGTTCAGTCTGGGCGAACACCACCTCCTGACCTCCGGTCCCCCCACCCCCCTGACCTCCGGGTCCCTCCCGCCCCCTGACCTCGGGCCCTTCCCGCCCCCGACCCCGGCCACCCGGCACCTGACCTGCGGTCCCTCCACGTATGGGACCATTGCGCCTTCCTCCACCCTGCCCCCAGACCTCCGGTCCCTCCGCAGGGGACAACTGCGCCTCTCTCCACCCCAACCCCTGACCTCCGGTCCCTCCGGTCCCTCCGCAGGGGGCCACTGCGCCTCCCTCCACCCCAGCCCCTGACCTCCGGTCCCTCCGGTCCCTCCGCAGGGGGCCACTGCGCCTCCCTCCACCCCAGCCCCTGACCTCCGGTCCCTCCGCAGGGGACCACTGCCCCTCCCTCCGCTCCGCTCCTTGATCTCCGGTCGCCCGTAGGGGACCACGACGCCACTCTCCACCCGGCTGCTGACCTCCGGTCCCTCCACAGAGGGCCACGACGCCTCCCTCCACCCGGCTGCTGACCTCCGGTCCCTCCACAGAGGGCCACGACGCCTCCCTCCACCCCGCCCGCTGACTTATGTTCCCTGCGCAGGTGACCACGACGCCGTGCTGGTGCTGCTGTTGGTGCCGCGTCTCTCGGTGAAGGCCGAGATCCTGCTGGCCCAGCTGCGTGACAAGTACCCGCCGCCGGCCACCGTCGACAAGGCGGCCGTGCTGAAGACGCACGCCGTCGAGCAGTACTGCTTCGGCGCCCGGCTGGTGCACCTCCTGCTGGCCCTGCAGGTGGGCGCTCACCGCACTCCGGCCGCGATGGCCGGAGCGGCGGGGGAGGGTTGATTGGGTTGGGTGGTGTCAGTGTAGTTTTTGGTGCGGTTGGCGCGGTGCGTGAAGTACTGGAAGGTCTGAACAAAATTAAATTTAGTCTGAACAAAATGAAAGACGTGTCGGTTGTTCAAAAAAGCCACCTTTCAGACTGAATAGGCTTAGAAATTTCGGCGGTGTTTAAATTTGGTAACAACCATTGGGCTAGAAGTTGGAGTTAGTCACCATGTCCAAGGCTATGCCCCGTGAAGCATGGACAAGGCTATGTCACCGTTGGTGGGTGTTTTCAAACACATTTGAAAGAGGCGCCGCGCGCGCACCAGGCACGGCACCTCATTGTGATGATG